AAAATTTGACTGCTACATAATGCTGACTGTCAACAAAGCTATGAGTGTTTTTGGGTTTATAAAGCATTGGTCAAAAGAATTTGACGACCCTTGTATAACCAAATTACTATTTACCTCCCTTGTCCGTCCTATATTGCAATATTGTTCTTCGGTTTGGAGCCCACAATACCAAGTGCACATTGACCGTACAGAGTCAATACAAAAAAAAATTTTCTTTTTGCTCTTCGTAGTTTGAACTGGGGTCAAAACGTAAGGCTACCTTCCTACCAGAGTAGATTATTATTGCTTAATTTACAAAGACTTGCAAATCGTAGAATAATGCTTGGTACTATTTTTATGAATAATCTTATAAGAGGTGATATTAATTCTGTAGAACTTGTAAGCTGCCTAACTTTTAATGTTCCCTTTAGACTAACACGTAATTATTATCCTCTTAATTTGCCACGATGTACATCAAATTTTAGTCTGCACGAGCCCTTTCGCGCTCTATGTAATAATTATAATAACCTTTATCATTTAATTTGCATTTCAACTTCTATCCCGGTATTAAAAACTAAAATTTTATTTTATTTTATTTTATTTTTTTAAAATAAAACTTATAACAGTTACGTTCCCTGATTCTAGCCAAGGTGAAAAATTAATTAAAACAAAATAATAATTCTTAAATGCGGTTACACTCATAGAAATTTTTACCCTAAATCGCCCTAAAAAACTGACTTTTCGCCCGTGGATTTAGAAAATCGCCCATAAATCGTATCCGCTGGCGATTCGCCCGTGTATTTAGAAAAATTTTCTAAAAAATCCCGATGGAAATTTGGTTTAATTTAGGGTGATTTTTCTTGAAATAAGAAATATTTTCCTTTTTTTAGGGTGATTTGCCCTAATTTTAAGGTGTATTTTTCTAAAATTAAGGGCGAATTTTCTGTTTTTAAAGGCAAACGCATGAGCATGCTTAACTGAATTTGGGAAGCATGTATTTTTTAATCGTGTATATTCTGGGAACTGGGACTGCTTTAATTACACAAAACCGGCGGAGGACACTGTTTCATATTGTTGTATTGGTGTGTAGCTTATATGGGAGCTGCGCTAAGAGGGGGGGCCCGATCTATACAGAACAGCCGTTAGAACTGAAAAATCATGTTTGTAAACGAATTAGGGAAATAAATATGAGGAGAAAAAACTACTTACTTTTTTTGGTCATTGCGACAATCGAACCCACGACCTCTCGGTTTAGAGTCTAACGTCCTAACGCTGCACCACAGACCCATCGCGCAAGACGACGAACAAACTCTGCACATATCTTATTTTCTTGAGGTCTACGTTATAATATGACTAAAGGCAACTAAACCGTATAAAGTATGCTTTTAACTCAGAACTCCCATACGTTTTTAAGGTTTAAAGACTACTTTAATTTAAAATTCGGACGAAAAAATGTCCTCAGTATTATAATGTTTACAAAAAAAAAAAAAACATAAAAATCAAGTTGAATCACACAGGGTTCGAACCCACAACCTTAGTCCTCATATAGCAAAGTTGAAAGCGCAAGTGATTAGACCGCTGGGCTACCGAATTTCACACTTTTGGAGTGATTTTTAAGGCAAATCGCCCTTGTATTTAGAAAAATTTTAGAAAAAAAATTAGGGCAATTCGCCGTTGGATTTAGAAAAGGTCAAAACGAAGCAAATCGAAAAAAACCGCCCTAAATATTAGAAAAATAGAAAAATTAACCCTAAAAATATTTTTTTATGGTCACCTGCCTTAAATTTATGGCAAATTTGTCGTGAAAATAGAAAATTTTTCTCAGTTCAAAGGCGAAAAATTTTTTAGGGCGATTTTCTAAAATGTAGAAAAATATTTTTATGAGTGCACTCATAGAAATTTTTACCCTAAATCGCCCTAAAAAACTGACTTTTCGCCCGTGGATTTAGAAAATCGCCCATAAATCGTATCCGCTGGCGATTCGCCCGTGTATTTAGAAAAATTTTCTAAAAAATCCCGATGGAAATTTGGTTTAATTTAGGGTGATTTTTCTTGAAATAAGAAATATTTTCCTTTTTTTAGGGTGATTTGCCCTAATTTTAAGGTGTATTTTTCTAAAATTAAGGGCGAATTTTCTGTTTTTAAAGGCAAATGCCCTAAAAAATTAGACAAATTAAAAAATTCGAGTTTGAGCATGCTTAACTGAATTTGGGAAGCATGTATTTTTTAATCGTGTATATTCTGGGAACTGGGACTGCTTTAATTACACAAAACCGGCGGAGGACACTGTTTCATATTGTTGTATTGGTGTGTAGCTTATATGGGAGCTGCGCTAAGAGGGGGGCCCGATCTATACAGAACAGCCGTTAGAACTGAAAAATCATGTTTGTAAACGAATTAGGGAAATAAATATGAGGAGAAAAAACTACTTACTTTTTTTGGTCATTGCGACAATCGAACCCACGACCTCTCGGTTTAGAGTCTAACGTCCTAACGCTGCACCACAGACCCATCGCGCAAGACGACGAACAAACTCTGCACATATCTTATTTTCTTGAGGTCTACGTTATAATATGACTAAAGGCAACTAAACCGTATAAAGTATGCTTTTAACTCAGAACTCCCATACGTTTTTAAGGTTTAAAGACTACTTTAATTTAAAATTCGGACGAAAAAATGTCCTCAGTATTATAATGTTTACAAAAAAAAAAAAACATAAAAATCAAGTTGAATCACACAGGGTTCGAACCCACAACCTTAGTCCTCATATAGCAAAGTTGAAAGCGCAAGTGATTAGACCGCTGGGCTACCGAATTTCACACTTTTGGAGTGATTTTTAAGGCAAATCGCCCTTGTATTTAGAAAAATTTTAGAAAAAAAAATTAGGGCAATTCGCCGTTGGATTTAGAAAAGGTCAAAACGAAGCAAATCGAAAAAAACCGCCCTAAATATTAGAAAAATAGAAAAATTAACCCTAAAAATATTTTTTTATGGTCACCTGCCTTAAATTTATGGCAAATTTGTCGTGAAAATAGAAAATTTTTCTCAGTTCAAAGGCGAAAAATTTTTTAGGGCGATTTTCTAAAATGTAGAAAAATATTTTTATGAGTGTATGCATCACTTGAGACTCGTTTGAGTTATTTCAATATTTGGTATGCAACTTTGTGGGATATGTTCATGTCTTTCAGAAAAATAATTCAAAACATTTTTAATTTTAAAATTAAGTATTTTTCAAGAGAATTTAAATTTAAAAAAATTCTGTACGCCGGAATACACGCGGTTTCCGAATAAAAAAATTATCCTCATATTGCTTCATCAATTCTTCACGAAGTGGTAAAATAAAATTTTTGTATTTGCAAGACCTACTAGTAAAGACAACGATTTTAGTTTAGCAACTTTGCATCATGCAACAACAGCGCAAGAAAGGGAAAGCACTATTGCTGCTCTCCCGTGTTCGTATTGCTGTTCTCTTCTTACACGTTGCCCTGTTGTTGCTTGATGCAAAGTTGCTAAACTAAAATCGTTGTCTTTACTAGTAGGTCTTGCAAATACAAAAATTTTATTTTACCACTTCGTGAAGAATTGATGAAGCAATATGAGGATAATTTTTTTATTCGGAAACCGCGTGTATTCCGGCGTACAGAATTTTTTTAAATTTAAATTCTCTTGAAAAATACTTAATTTTAAAATTAAAAATGTTTTGAATTATTTTTCTGAAAGACATGAACATATCCCACAAAGTTGCATACCAAATATTGAAATAACTCAAACGAGTCTCAAGTGATGCATAACTGAAAAATCGGAGCTTAATTAGAAAATTATTTTTTTTAAATAAACGGTAAGAGTTAAAAAAAAATAAATAAAAACCGATCCTTATATTTCAATCCTCTATCGAAAAAAAAAGTTTCGATTGATTCTGAGATTTGACCCAAATTGGCCTGTCACGTTTCACGTGGAATGAGCCTGCTATGTCTAACCAAACTTTTCCTCCTATTAATGCCCCCTTCTCCCTTAAAGTTTTTTTTGTAAATTTTCTCAAGTGGCTTACTTAGGACAAAACACTGTTGTTTTTGCAAAAATTAAGAAAAAAAAAGATTATCTACATACATATTTGCTTAATTTTCAAACTTAATTGTCGTAGGTTATGCTGCGGGCGACGGCCCCTGCTGGTATATAAAGGTTACAGCCCGACAATTTTTTTTTAATTAAGAATTAACATAGACGACAAGGCTTTAACAGTCGAAAAATACAATACATTTATGGGTCTGAGCATGTAATTATTAAGAAAGAATTTAGAATTCGGAATAATTTTGCCAAAAATGTTTTTTGCCTTTATTTTAAGCGAATATTTAGATCGGTAATGAATTTGGCTGAAAACAGCAGCATAAACCTGTTTTTGTTTTGTATAAACTTATTGAAATATTTTTGAGACTCCAGACAACGTACGTCACCGACAGGTAACATTGCCAATGTCAAAGAAATGTAGCCCGCGGGAGAACTGAACTCTAGAAAAAGAGGTTCGACAAGTTTTGAGATAATCAACTTGGGTGAAGCACTGGCAGAGAGTAAAGTTGGGCTTTGGCCGTTTGTGTAAGTTCATTGAACGCAAAGAATTCTGCATGGTTTTTGATCCTCGTTGTGCTTTCACGATGTCGCGACTGAGATTGCCCAACATTTTCCGTTTTTTTTTTTAGATTTATTGTAAAACGATACGAAAGACTTTCTGTTTGAAGCCTAGAAGTCACTTTAATCATAAAGCGTACAAAATCAAAATCTCCATACAACATTTTGTTTATGAAATTTTTCACCTATAGTTTGACGGTGATTATCACGTGTAATTTTTGTACAAAAATTTTCGTTTCGTTTTCTTTTAGATTGTGGTGATTTTTAGGTTTTAGATTCAAATTGTTCCACCGCATATATGCCGAGGTCTTCGGCTATTTCTCATGCGCTTCACGTACGCCTACCAAACATCGAATAATCAGCGCTATCGCTAGAGTAATGTGTATTCTTACACTCACTTGACGGATTTCAACTAGCGACACAATGATTGTGGCCAGGCCCTAGCTTCCTTGGCTCACACTCACTAAGTAACTGTGCTTAGTGGTAAATTAAATAACTTGCTATCTTGCTTCGCATCGAACTTCACGCGTGCGCGATCAAAATAAAACTGTTGGGGGCTTAAGTGAGGACGCACCTATTTATACATGTATACATATATATATATATAAGAACTTTGAATGTCACCAGAAAAGCAGAATATTGCTAAATCCTTTGTGTACCTGTTTATAGAGATCTCCGCAACCAATTCGGACATTTTTTGAGACCTTCCGGCCGATTTTTTGGAGACTTCACTTAAATATTTAAATATATAACATTGAAAACTACAAATAAATTCTTAAACTGAGTAGGATTTTCTCAACTTTCTTGTGTCTTGAAGTGTTTGCATCGGTAATATGTTAGCTTATTTAAATTATTTGGTGTCCAATTTACGGCGAATCTTTAGGATAATAACCTAACTTAAGTTAGGTTAACTCTGTCAAAACTGAAATTATAAAAAACAAGAGAGAACGCTATAGTCGGGTTGGTCTCCCGAGGGAGATAGATATATAAATTTTGATTGCGTATAACTTTTTAATGAATGGTCCGATTTGAAAAATGTCTTCTACATTTCGATAGGTATAAATATACACAACAAAATTGCATTTATACTTCTCGGAAATCTTTAACAATGTGGGCGCAGGATCCATTTTAAAATCGTTAGTGGGCGATTGTGGGCGTTAGAGGGGGTGTGGCGCTCGGCTAAAATAAACTTGCGCTGCGTAGGAAGCCAAAGAATATGTGTGGAAAATCTCAACCTTCTAGCTTTTGTAGTTTCTGAGATCTCAGCGTTCATACAGACGGACAGACGGACATGGCTAGATAGACTCGGCTATCACTGCGTTGCAAACATCTGAGTGAAATTATAATACCCTCTACAAGGGTATAAAAAAAAACCATTTTGGCATGCTTTTTGTTTTAGGCGCCCCAGTGTGCGCAGTGAAGGGGACGTTTCCGACCACATAAAGTATATATATTCTTGATCAGCATCAATAGCCGAGTCCATCTAGCCATGTTCGTCTGTCTGTCTGTCCGTCTGTTCGACTGTTCGTCTGTTCGTCTGTTCGTCTGTTCGTCTGTCCGTCTGTCCGTTTCTACACTCATAAAAATTAATTTCTAAATTTTGGAAATCTCGCCATTGAATCGGCCTACCTTTGAAAATAGAAAAAAAATTTCTTGTTATTAGAAAATTGTCCTTTGAATACAGAAAACCTTTCTTGATGGAAAAAATTCAAGAAAAAATTTTTCTTAAAAATAGAAAAATGAAAATCTCATATGTTTGTTTTGCCGTCGCAGCCAAAACATTTTTTTACGTCTTTAAGGACAAAATCACCTTTGAATATATGAATGAAATGACCCTAGAATATAGGAAAGTAGCCATTGACTTCCTTCGGCTGCCGAATGTTAACGACAAGAAAAACGAAGTGGGACGAAGGGCCTACTCGGCCCGACTAATACCCGGCTACCGACTTCTCTGATCCCCCGAGCGTCAGTTGTGAAAAAAATTCGTGAGTGATGGACGTGATTTTCAAGCGGATAAGAGGTGAAGCCTTTTTCCGAATATTCAAAGGTATGTAAATATATAATTTTTTGTATAGCGCGCGTACAATTGTATGTATGTAATTAAAGGATAAATTCAAAATCTCTTTACCAAGCTTATATCAATTAAGTTGAATTGTTTTTTAGCTAAGAGCTACGTACATACATACATTTGTACATAAATTTGTGGGTGTACAGTTCTATAATAACTTTATCTTATTACTCGCATTTTATTTATTTTTCAGAGTGAAAATACCTGCAGTTGCAACAGCCAAATAATTTGTTTGTCGAAGCTGTAATTTTGTTTTAAAACCTTCTAAGGTAAGAAAAATATGTTGTATTTGTTTGACATACTTATGTATGCATGTAAATATCTATGCATGTACGCGGCTCACCCGATCTGAAACCCGATTTTCAACCCTTTCATATTCTGCTCCTCTCTCTCGCTCGCTTGACCTACGCGTCGCGACGTTTCTCTCTTCACCTTCTAAAAACTGACATGATCTGCCCTGCTTACATTCGGTCTCCCTTCGCGCAAAGGACTGTATGTAAATATATATGTATGTATGTACGTGTCTCTCCCGTGCCTCTCTCTCTCTGAAATTCGATTTTCAACCCTTCACTTTCTACCTGTCTTGCTCCTCTCTCTCGGTCGTCTGACCAACGTGTTTGTACTTTGGCTATTATTAACATTACATTATTTCAAAAAAGTTGTTTATCTAAAAACAAATCATTGATATCCCAATAACTCTTTTTTTCTAGATGAGGAAAGGCGAAGAAAATGGATCACCTTAGGTCATATGGAGTTCAACAGACCTTGGGTAATAACAATGTTTTCTTGAGTCAAAAATGTGTTATTTAAAAATGTTTAAATGTTAAGTGTTAAATGTTTTAAATGTAAATAAATATAATATGCAAGAGAAAAAACCAAGTTACATTTTATTTTTAGGGTTTCAGTGTTAATATAAAACTTCCTTTCAAGAAATATTATTTCTTAAATCAAGAAATAAAATTTCTTGAAAGGAAATTTAAACAAGAAAGAATTTTTCTTGTTTAAAAAAAGCCTTTCTAAAAAACCCTTTCTTGTTTTAAGAAATTTAATTTCTTGAAACAAGAAACAAACCACCTTTGAAACAAGAATCGCCTTGTTGTCGATGTTTTGTTTGAAGAAATATTTTTTCTTGTTTTTATGATGGCTTCCTAAAAAACCCTTTCATGTTTTAAGAAATTTAATTTCTTAAAACAAGAAATATTTTTTCTTGTTTTAATGGTGCCTTTCAAAAAAACCATTTCTTGAAACAAAGGTGAGGTCGCCTTTGGCAAAAATTCAAGAAAGAATTTTCTAGATTTTAAGGAAATTCTTCGATTTTTTTTTATGAGTGTATGCGAACTAGTCTCTCAGTTTTCAAGCTATCGCGATAAAACTTTCCCAAAAGTCTTCTTTTTATTTCAGGTAGTAAATATGTCCTAAAGAGCTGGATCGGACCATTATATCTTAAGGCTTCCATAGGAATAATCAAAAAAATAATAGAAAGAACATTGTAACTTTGTAGGAAGTAGTCGTTTTGATTTTTGACAATTTAAAAATAACATTTTAAATAGGCATACCTGAAAGGGTATATAAACTTCGGCTGGCCGAAGTTAAGTTTCTTTCTTGTTTTGTGTTGTGCTCAACCAATTTAGCTAAAATGTGTTTTAATTTACAATTTACTATGATATTACAAGATTTTGTTCTTTATGGCTCATTCAACGTGAAACGTGACGTGCCAGTTAAGGTCAAATCTCAGAAATGATCGAAACTTTTCTTTTCAATAGAGGATTGAAATTTAAGGATGGGTTTTTGATGTTTTTTTTATCTCTTACCGTTTATTTTTCAAACATTTTTTTTGTAAACTAGCTCAGATTTTTCTGTTATGCATCACTTGAGACTCGTTTGAGTTATTATACCCGTTACTCGTAGAGTAAAAGGGTATATTGTATTCGTGCAAAAGTATGTAGGGAGAAGGAAGCGTTTCCGACCCCATAAAGTATATATATTCTTGATCAGGGTCACTAGCCGAGTCGATATATCCATGTCCGTCTGTCTGTATGAACGCTGAGATCTCGGAAACTACAAAAGCTAGAAGGTTGAGATTTCCCACACATATTCTTGGGCTTCCTACGCAGCACGAATACAATATACCCTTTTACTCTACGAGTAACGGGTATAATAAATTGATTTTATTTGTAAGACCTACTAGTAAAGACAACGATTTTAGTTTAGCAACTTTTCATCAAGCAACAACAGTGCAACGTGTAAGAAAGGTAAAGCAATATTCGCACTCGCACATTCGGTATTCCGGCGTACAGAATTTTTAAAATTTAAAATTCATTTAAAAATACTTTATTTAAAAATTAATTTAATTAATTTTTTAAATTATTTTTTTGAATGATATTAAGATGTCCCACAAAGTTGCATACCAGATATTAAAACACCTGAAACGAGTCTCAAGTGCTGCATAAATTAAAAACAGACATTAATTCTAAAAAAATGTTGAGTGCGTTAGCGAACTCGAGGTCATTTTTAGAAGTTGAGTTTAGAATTCAACAGTCTAGCATTTCAACACACTGCGCTCGGTGGGGAGTGAACCTCGGACTTTCTGGGATTTGCAAATTTCGGTAGGTCGTCAACGCTACCTCATCAGCCAGAGAAGAGGATGAGAGCTGAGCGTCGAAACTTCTAAAGTGTGTGAAAGCTATGTATATTGGTTGTAAATTAGGAAAAAATCTGTTTCCTGATTTCAGACGTGAATAACAACAACTAATTACCTAATTGTTGTATTCGAAACGTACGCATTTTTAATGTAATTTGCATTATGCGATTGTTATAGGGCGTGTCTATCTTACTATTGAGTGCGTTAGCCGTAAGAGATAAAAAAAAAATTTTTTTTATATTTTTCTGAAAGATATTAATATATCCCACAGAGTTGCATACCAAATATTAAAATAACTCAAACGAGTCTCAAGTACACAGTGGTCGGGCTTGTATGGAGCCGCGGCCATAAATACTTCTAGATGTGCTATCGCTATGAAATTTTTACCAAAAATCTAAATAAATATTATAAATATATGTTACAAAAATTGTCCAGATCGTACCACTATATCCTATAGCTTCCATAGGAACGATTTTCTGAGTGGTTGCGTTTACATGAGAAGGCAATTAAAAATTCAATTTATGTAATACTAGCAGGGTCTGTAGCCCGCAGCTTCGCCTGCGGAGATTAAAATTGAAAATTAAGCATTGCTTTATCTTTGGTATTTATTTTAAATTTAAAAAAATCCAAATTTTTATTCTATAAACCGAGAAAAGATTTTATCAGAACTTTTTCCATTGATATCCGGAAAAACAAAAATATTTGTCCTTTGAAAACTACTTTAAAAAACATGTGTCTTTTTTAAATCTTTTTAAAATTATTATGGATTGTTTGCATAAGTTAACAGACATTATTTGAAAAAAAATTTCTTTAGGAAAAAAATAGAT